ATTGCAATGACTGTTGTATTAATTTTTAACACTCAATTCTACAGACGTTACATGATAGCCGGCTCCATTAGAACATTGCAATGACTGTTGTATTAATTTTTAACACTCAATTCTACAGACGTTACATGATAGCCGGCTCCATTAGAACATTGCAATGACTGTTGTATTAATTGTTAACACTCAATTCTACAGACGTTACATAATAGCCGGCTACATTAGAACATTGCAATGACTGTTGTATTAATTTTTAACACTCCATTCTCACCCAGAATAGGCTCAAGAGTGTCTGATATAATTTTAGTTGTGTGTTGTTACCCAGAGTGATTACTAATGGCTCTACTGTTTCATCGAGCGTGGCCTGACGCTTAGTGTATTGGTTTGGGGATTCGAGACTTGGTGCTAGCAAACACGCTTTGCACTTTCAGTTGTAGGCGCGTTATAACAGTAGCACTCAACTCTGCTATTCGGTTATGAGTAGTCGCTTCAGGCGGCATGTGTTGCTGACTGGTTGCCTTCTGTCTGATCCGCTATTCAAAATTAGGAACGCCTATATCTGAACCATGGGGATCTCTGACACGGCCGGTTATCCTCATTCTGTGCATAGTCTTTCAGGGTAAGAAACAACCAATCATTCCACTTTTAGGTTACAGTTTTGTTTTTGAAGTGGTTTAGATTTTGGTAAGTTAGCTATCATGTTTTATTTTAATATAAAATGAGCAGACAAATTATATACAAATAAAGTGATTTATAACGCTTTTTTTTTTTTACAAAATTTCTGTTATGTTATAGAAACCTTTGTACTGCCAAGGGAGTTTTAATCAGCTTTGGTAGGTTGCATATTTTTGAGGATATACTTTCTTTATAGATCTCGCGAATCACGTGACTGAGCTCGTGGTCTGACTAATACCAGGCGTGCGAAATTGCACACGATCACGTACCTATCAAACGTTGGGCTTCGTATTAGCAAACATGATATAGACGATAGAGACAAGCATTTGGACACGCATGACCACGCTAGATTCATTAAAATATCACCATAAAAGTTAAGTTACGCCTGAATGCAAGGTACTCAAGCGACAATATCACATGGGAATAGAGGGGAAAAAACTACTGTGAACACAATTAGTTACTGTAAGTTTAGTTAAACAGAATTCATTCAATAGCAGTAGACGTGTATTTTCCTGATAATTCTGCTGTTACAAGTAAGATCAGACTGTCGTGTTTCATAGGGACTATTTCAATGCTTCTGTTCTAAGTAGCATCAAATTGGATGCTCCAGAGAAACTCTCCTTCCAGTAGAGCTGTTCTAAGTAGCATCAGACTGGATGCTCCGAAGAAACTCCCCTGCCAGTATTGCTGTTCTAAGTAGCATCAGACTGGATGCTCCGGAGAAACTCTCCTGCCAGTATTGCTGTTCTAAGTAGCATCAGACTGGATGCTCCGCATTAACTCTCCTGTTATTGCTGCTGTTATAAGAAGGATTACATTGGCATGACTCTTTTTTTTTTAACTTGGATTATTCAACATATCTCAAAGTAGGATTCTGTGGCGTTTAAAAAATTAACCCCAGAATCGAATACACTATGTTTTTGTTGTACGTACTTTTATTTGCCTTCATTTAATGAGGTGAGAAACGAAGTGTCTTTTGCCAGAAGCCTGTAGAAAGAAAAATTTTTTTATATGTGACCTAATTGTTGGAAAGCGATTTCACGGTCACAAACGCATCAATCCATCAGTACTACCGAAGTACGAGACTTTTGGATTGAAAAATTAGAAATCCTGTTTTGTATTTTGTTCTTGTTGTTTTTAAATTGTTTATAGTCACATGTTTAATTTCGTGTCACATTAAAAACTACGGATTTTAAAGTAGTAGATTATGACTTTTTATATTGCAGTAATTTATTTACTTTGTTTTAAGCGCAAAAGTGCACGGTGGGCTATTTGCACCGTGCCCGCCGCTGGAACGAACCCCGAATTTTAGAATTATTAGCCTTAAAACTATCTACCGAATTCCTTTGGGGGGCAGTAATTTATTAATAGCCTACAGAAATAATATATATTCTACAGTTTTGATTCATATGTATGTATGTATCTGTAAGAAGTATTAAAAAAAAAATTGTTACATTATTCTTTTTTTATAGGTAGTGGCGGCTTTCCTTCAAAAGCTCCTCCATCTTCCAGTAGTTCTAGGTCCGCGTCCCCACACTCCACGGGAATACCTCATGGTTCATTCATTCCTCAGCCAAGAAGTGGCGTAGTGACGCGTGACAAGGGAAGTCTTGAGCGTAACCATTCCAGGTAAATCGTGTATTTAAACTTAAAAAGTAGTTGTTAGTTTTTATTGATTGGACGTGTTCTCTTTACTTGCTTTAAAACCGATCTGATCGAATTAGTTAACAAGCTAATCTACGCAACCACCGACAGAACCCAATAAACAATCCCACCTTTGAATTGCGATTTTACGTAATTCTTTATCTTTTACATATTTTTTTTTATCGCGGCATCTAAACTACGCATACGATGGACTCGTTACTAGCTAGGGATGTATAGTCCCGTTGCTTTTAGTAATAAAATGTGTATGTTAAAAATGCATACGTTTAAAAGACAGAAGGTGGTGACATTATCTTTAGTTGTTTTGTGTAGTGTCAGATATATCGTTCTTAATTCACTAAGCCTTTAAAAAAACAGTAACAGAAGCTAAATTCTTATCAACGACCAAAATATTCTGATTTTAAAATAATTATTTCAAACTATTTAATGAAACGTGTTCACAATTTAACATTTTATCAGACATTTATTCTAGGATCAGACTTCTCCTATTAAAATATTTTGATCATTAACCCATATATGTATGTATATAAGTAAGTAGCACTAACACTATAAATTACGTCAATTGTATGTAGACAATTCAGCACTATATAAGAAATGATAACTTGGTATAAAATCTAAAACCTAGATTTATGTTATGAGATCCTAACCTAAAAATTGAAAGAAAATTGTCCATTACCAGTACTTTGTCATTGCTATGACCACAGAAATGGCAAGAATTTCATTTCCTTTTTTTAGCCGCGGCATAGTGGCTCATAGAACGGCTCTGAGTTTTTTTCAAAGTACAAACTTTTAGCTCATAGCTCCGTCATTTCTTGACCGATTTGAGATCCAAATAAAGAGATCCTGATGAGTAATAAAACCGAATTAATCTGGTATACATGCGCCTCACGCTTGGTGTTGCTGGCGCACAACAATATAACTAATAAAAAGTTAAAAAGGTCTCGTAGATTAATTTACACTAATCCTGCCTAAAGGAATTTCAAGTGATGAAGCTGTTAAGGAATTCGTCTTGTTTTAGGTTTGGATCTGTATCAAAACGTTTCACTTGTGAAAACGTATGTGCACAAAGCGTTTGAAGTATAACTATTTCTTTGTTATTTTTTATACATTCTTACTTGTGTTAATAATGGAGTTTATTCGCTAATCACAAGCAGTTATGTGAGCATCAATAAGGGTTTTATCCTGCATACAGCCAGTTTGGGACTGTTGGTCATCACATTATTTTAACCTTTATCTCAACAGATTAACAGGTGTCTGACATAAATTCTGTTATGTCAGCTTATCCTATTATTTAATGCCACCACAATGTACTTTGAAAGTAAATAAAAAATAAAGTGTTACTTTTCAGAAGCTCCGACTTCACTTCATCAGGATTGTTTAAGTTATACACAGACTAATTCATAACATTAATATGTAAGAGCTTTATAAAATGTGTGTGAAATGCTTAAAAGTTAGCAAAAAAATGTTATTACATTGCTAAAGTTCTGATCATCATGTTAAAATTTATTAAGCATTATTAGTTTTTACTTATTTTTGTACATTTTAAAGACCTTCTTCTTCATCATCTACTTCATCTGTATCACATCTTCCGGTTAAGTCAATTTCTGGTGTTGCATTGCGAAATTCACCAGGAGTCACTGGTATCGATAGTGGTAAAAGCGCCGCCAATAATAACAGTTCCGGGTTGGATAAATTCAAACCGATAAACTACAAAGAAAAACAAGTGGAGAAAAGTAAGTATTTTTGTATTTTCTTCTTTTTGTTTACTTATGTTGAAATAAATGATTTATGTAAATATTTTTGATTTGTATAAAAGTGTATAACGCCAAATCTGCGAAGCATATTATGTTGATCGGCAGTTTGTGGGTCACTGATTTAACAGATCATGTTCACCAGCGTAGGTATTAAACACCTTTTTAATATTTGTTGCCTGATTTAACTGATGCTTTGTGTATTATATTCTATTGAGAGAGAAAAGCCTCGTTAACTATTACTCATTTTTATTTATAAAAGTCCATACAGGTCTAGTAAATAAAAAATGGTTTTAATTAATGTTTATAAGAAGACTGCTATTTGTACTGAGGAAAAATAATTGTACTAGCAAAAAGTTTGAATTAATTTGGAAGTTTTACCCGTGAACTATAAAACTAAAAATACACCTTTATTTATTATTTTTTTATGCTGGTTTACAGTTATAAAATTATATATATATTTTATGTTGTGTGTACTAAGTTAACGATATTAGACGAACTAAATAAAATTACCTTTTTTTTTTTGTAGGTGGCGTCTTCTCTAAACGTACTAGTAGTAGCAGTGGTTTTAGCTCTGCACGCAGCGAACGTAGTGACTCTTCAACCAGTCTTTGTAGTGACCCTAGAATCAGCTCTTCCACAGACGGCTCAGATTTACTTTCTGCAGCGTCAGGACCCTTCCCTGCACCTTGCATGCCCTCTATGTCGACGCAAGGAACTGCTAGTAGGTCTGACGCTGCAGTCAAAAATTTAACCAAGCGGACACCTGGTGGCAGAAACTCGAGTGGCGTTAGACAAACTATATCGAAACCTACTTCGACTGGAAGTGAGTACTGCAGTTATCAGTAGTAACATTGTATTAATAAAACATATCCATCTTTACAAAATAGACAAATCTCGGGAGATTACAAATTATACTTACTATTTGTGTTTTGGAGAACATTTTCCTTTGAATTTGTATGTTAAGAAAATAAGTTTTTATTATTATTATTTATTTATTTATTCCAATCTCGCTGTTCGTTGGTAAAGAGTACTTCAAAAGATGGCGGTGAGTTCTGTCTACCGACTGCTTTCCTTGTGGTCTGCAGCTCAAAATTGGGGATGGCGACCTTAGTAGCATTGCCATTAACAAACAAATAACAAGACGCTGGTTGGAAAACACGAGTCAACCTTGAAAGACAAATACTACTATATTAGTTGGTTAGAATAAATTATTTTACAAGTACTTATAAAGATATTTTTTCAAGCTTTATCGCTTCTCAAAAATTTGTGTATTGGAAATCAGTGTTTTTAAATAAGTATGAAAATGATTATTTCCTGTTATTTTTTACAATTCAGATGTGTTCACCAGCGCCATACAATGACAGCTTCGTGCAAAATGTCGGGCAGTTTAGTTTGAAATTATGGATGTTGAAATTATAGCAATATAATTATTTATATTCAATTAGAAGGTTAAAGGTCGGGGAAAGATGCAACGTCAACTCGTGAAATCGTGAATTAGGGTTCCATTATCAGTTTTTGTGTATTTGTTTGGGATTTTCACGCAAAGCTATACAAAGGCTACCAGATAGATCAGAAGGGATACAGCTCATAAACAGCACCCACTGCTATTGTTTGGGCTACTCCAATCGAATAGTGGGACTTAACCGTCTCTTTTATAACGCACCCACAACCCCAGTGCGCGGAGCGGGATTTTTTTTGTTTGCTCTAACGAGACGCGATCCATGTACACTGTGATCCTAAGTGCAGACTACTAACAACTGAGCCACGTCCGGTCTTTTATCAGTATAAAAGACGCTTTGTTTTTAAGATCACAGAATCCTCATTTGTTAAATAAAATTTACAATACAACTCGTTTCAGATTTTTCGAGCCATTATTTGTTCAGTAGTTTGTGTCAATAAAAATTTTAGTCAGCAGTGCTAACAAGTTTGAAATGTAAAATAATATTACTACATCTAATTAGAGCGTTAAGCGGCATATATACTGTATATAAATATAATAGTAATATCTGTTGTATGTCCATGTAACTACTTCGCAAAGTGTGGATGGAACTTCATCAAAATTGGTATGGAGGTTCATTAGGTCCATGCGGGGGTACATATAAACTTTCAGTTTTGCATTTTGCACCACTACTTCGTATTCTGTTGATGAATTTTCACCAAATATGGCTTTAAGGTTTGTTGGGTCCATGCGAAGATGCATGCAAATTTGCGATTTCACATTTTTTGTTTTGCAGTTTTTATTGTTATTTTTACGTTTCTTACAATTACATACAAGGGAAGCAACTTTTCATGTTTTAAAATAACTCTTCATTAATCATGAAGGTACCTAATTTCAGTCCAGGGAACGAGTATTCCAACACTTATTTTGATAAGTATCTATTAAATGTTTAATAAACTAACGTACTCTTGTTTATCATCATAACCAACAAACAAAGCCTCGCGTTTTGTTTATAGTAAAATCATCTTGATTTCATTTTGAGTTAAATTTAGACGTTTACTAAACTTTCTTGTGGAGCTTATGCATTTGTTGGAAAACTTGAAATTGGTAAAACTGTATGACTTTTTTTTTAAAGGGAAAGATGTAGAGACATCTCGAATAATCCAAGCAAAAAATGCGAACGGATCCAGAATTGTCAACTCCAGTAGTTTACCCCGTCGAGGCGACAGCTCAGGAACCGGTTCGCTTCCAAGACTGAAAAACAACGAAGGAGAATGTGGTAGATCTAAAGTCGGTAATCGAACAGAAGCACCAAGTCAAAATCAAAGGCCTAGTGACGAACAAGGTCAGCTTTGTAAAAGCATCCAGCCAGATAATCCAATTCGTCAGTCCAAGATCTCCAGTCTTATCCCAAAAACTGAACGCGCTATCAAGACAGCCAGTTCTGGAAGTGTGGGAAGCTTCACGGATACTGGTTCAGTGTGTAGCGATGGCATGATGGCAGATTCTTCTGTTACTGATCGTGGCAACGCTCAAGTGAGTGCGCAAGAAACTGGAAACAGTGGCATTCCAAAACCAACAGCAGCGGTAAAAGGAACATCAAAACCACCAAAAGAAGAAACTCGTCACAATAATGCTGCGACTTCTAACGTAACCCAATCGGTTCCCAGCAGTTCAGGCGGCTATTTGTCAGTACCCAGACCAATTATGCCCCAGGAAAGCCACACACCAGTGAAGTTGTCTAGAGACGAGATTTACGTCCCAATTGAAATCAACCGACAAGTCCTGGAAAATAGACAACTCGGTAGTTCAAGACAACATGAAGATAATGGCAGCACCTCATCATTGCCAAAATCTGATCGTTCCATAACTGAAAGAACCAGGGAAGGTTCCCAGGGAACCATTAGTGTTGCCAAAGTTTCCCCCATTATGAATACCAACATTTCCAATGCTACCAAAGAAAAATTACCACGTCAGCAAGATAATGTAGAAGAAAGAAGACCTGAAAACTCTAATGTACCCCTTCAAGCTAGTCAGACGAGACGAGGAAGTGAAGATTCACAAAGAGAATCCGATCCAATATCAGATAATTGTTCAAGAAATTCAAAATCCAAAGATTCAAAATCGGTAAAGTCGGAGGTTATTCCAAACGCAGAAATGGTGACCGAAATCAAAAGTAGACGTTCTGCAGTCAAAGATGTTCCTAAAGACACGGACGGCCCTAGCTGTGACACCGAAGCTTCATTTGGTGAAGAGGCTGACGATGTCATAGTCAATATCAAACCCATGCAGCCCATCACACGTGCCTCCACATATGGCTATATTCGCAGTCTGGGACCTTTCCCTTCCACTCGTAATTTTGCTAACAAACTACAGTCTCCCGGTTTACGTCTTTTGACGGATTTTAGTGGAACTGGTGGAGGACGACTAGGACTTTCGAGACAAATTCTTACAGCGGGTGATTCGTCCAGAATATATGGCATTCCTATGAAACGAACATTTTCCACAAGCAAAGGCGTTTTAGATGTTGACTATTCTTCCGATGTTGATTCTGTTGACCTAGCGGCAGGATACATGAGTGACGGAGATGTTCTTAGGCCTGGACTCGTTTACAGAGTGGATGACATTGCTAGTGGATACATGAGTGAAGGTGGAGCTTCCTTATATGGCCGAAAAGTCTCAAGTAAGACGAAAGACAGCATATTGTCAGGTCGAGGTGCTGCTCCTAGAACCATCAATGTCCTTCAAGATGATAGGTAAGATCGAATTTTATCAAAAGCTTCAAAAAACCCGCACAAGATACTTTTTCCCACTGTAACACAAACAAGTCGCATTTATAGATAGTTTAACTGGCTCTAGTGAACTTAATATTGGTGAAGTATTTGAGAACTGGCTAAACGTGTGATAGATATTAGCGTGCTAGGCTGCAAATGTAAAAGTCTAAGGCTCGACCTGCATTACGCTCTGGATATTCAGCTGTAGATGTATAATAATCGTGACAGTTAATCTCTCTGTTTTATTAAGAGTATCCGGGTGCTGATGAATAGTTGTTCTCCTCTGGTTAACAGTTATAAATTAGGGATGGATCTACCTGAACCTTGAGATCTCCGACCTGGTCGTTTAGCCCATGTGTCATATGAGGTGTTGTTCGGGTTACAAATTCCAAATTCCTTTGTTGAAATCAAAGATTGGTTCATTTTCAAAAACCGTATTTATTACGATATTCAAAGAGTTAGGAGCAGTTGGGGCACTAAAAACATTATGGAGCGGGAAACTGATATTTTTAAAGATTAGTTAGAGAGAGAGTGTCACTTTTTGCGAAGAGTAACTTAAGATATGAAGTAGATTTTCTGATATCCTTTCTATTTTAATAATAATAATATTAATAATGATAATAAAATAGGAGATGTTCCCTTACTTCATTATCAAGTTATATTTTGTCGTTAAGAATATGTTAGTAATAACTCAAGATTAATTTTAAAATTTCGAATTGAAAAATGTGACTCTGGAATGTGAATTGGAAAACGTATCATTTTATTTCTTAGATATTTAGACTGTACTCAGCAAAATGAAAAATAGGCCAAGTAAATTAGTTAAAACAATCCTCACAAGGGGAACGTTGATCAGTTAGGACGAACGTGAATAAATAATCCATTTTGTCCAAAACTAAATTCAATAATCCTTGGTGGATTTTAAAGACATCTTCATAAATATTTTGCTATAATAAGTCAGAGACCACAAAGAACGTCAGTACAAGAAAGACGCAACAGTAAAAATAATTTATTTTTTGTTTGTTGAAAACACGTTAGTTTTAAGCTATACAGATCTTCGAATGTTAATATCCTGTCATACATCAAAAAACGATTACGTGAATAAATAAATTACTGTTTATGGCTTCTGGTTCATAAAAATCCATTTAAATCCTTTATACTAATCCAACAAAACACATTTGTTAAAACTGCCAAATACTTCACCAGGTGTTTTAAATGTAGGTAACTCACACTTAAGTGTAAATTTCTAACTTTTGATTGGCTCATTTGAAATTTTACACATGACAGCACCTTAGTTTACCCAATATTAGATGTTAGAAACTGATTTTTTTGATTTAAAAAAATAAAAAAAGATGCCCACTTTGTATCTGTTGTATCCACTGCGGGGAATCAAACCTAGGACTTTAGCATTGTAAATCTATAAACTTAGCACTGCCCCACTTAGAGCACCCTAGTATCATTTATCACTAAAACTGGAAGTTTTTATTCATACCTGGAACACCAGTATTATATAATATAATGGCCCGGCATGGCCAGGTGGTTAAGGCACTCGATTCGCAATTTGAGGGTCGCGGATTCGAATCTTTGTCACACCAAACATGCTCGCCCTTTCAGCCGTGGGGGCGTTATAATGTGACGGTCAATCCCACTATTCATTGGTAAGAGTAGCCCAAGAGTTGGCGGTGGGTGGTGATGACTAGCTGCCTTCCCTCTACTCTGACATTGCTAAATTAGGGATGGCTAGCGCAGATAGCCCTCGTGTAGCTGTGCGCGAAATTCAAAAACAAAAACAAACGTATAATATAATCTTTACAATAAAAAAATTGTCACTAGGGGGAGCTTAAACAGAAATTACTGAAGCTAAATAATTTTTTTCTCTTTACATTGAAAATCATCGCAACATTGTCACACAAATACATAGTGTGCAGTCTGTTGGAACTTGCCTAAAATTAGATATGTTATTAGATGCCTAAAGATCAAGATATCTAACAAAGATATTTCAAATTGTTCATTTGGTTCTCGCTTAAACTTATTAAACTTGATCACCAAAAATTAATTTTGAACTTTACTGTACATAACACCAGATGGCACTAGTTAAAATAATTGCATTGATAAATTACTTTTACCATTTATAAATTCATAAAATTGTAAAGGGACAAAAAAAGGGCTTGTTAGCCCATCAATGATGTCCCTTCCAGCTCCCAACTATAACCACCCCTTACTACTCGTGTATTCATCCAATCTTTAACTTGTTTAAATTTTCTGCCTCCACCACCCTTGAAGGCAGCTCATTCCAAAAGCCAACCACCCTGTTCGAAAAGTAACACTGTCTAAACTGCAGATGACTTCTATGCTGCCAAAATTTGACTGTATGACCCCTTGTTCTATTGTTTTCATTGCTAAACACAAAGTTTGGGTCTATATTATTAATACCCTTAATAATCTTAAACATCTCAATCAAATCCCTTCTGACTTTTCTCCTCTCCAGAGAAAACCAGTTTAGAGATTCTAGTCTCTCTTCATAGGACAATTCCACCATCCCAGGTATCATCCTAGTGACTTTTCTGAACCTTCTGGAACAATTCAATGTCCTTGAGGAAGGGAGCCCAAAACTGTACACAGTACTCTAAATGAAACTTTACAAGTGATCTATACAGTGAAATAACAATATCCCTTGTCTTGTATTCAATATTTCTATAGATGCTACCTAAAATCCTATTAGCCCTGTTGCTAGCTAGAGTACACTGTTTAGATTAATTAAGTAATTTTTCAATCACAACATCCAAGATCTTTTCTTCAACCACAGTATTTAATGTACTCCCATTTAAATTGTAACAATTTGAATTGTGAAAACCTACATGCATCACCTTACAGTTTGGATATTTAAACATTATCTTCTACATATTGGCTCAATGCATCAAAGGATCTAAATCTCCTTGTAAGTCTGCAGCATCTTTGATACAATTAGTCACCCCCAAAATCTTTATCATCTGTAAACTTCAAAATTTTGTTAGTCATTCCAGAGTCAATATCATTAATATAAATTGCAAACAGCAGAGGACCCAGCACAGAGCCCTGAGGTACACCGCTTGTAACTGTGATCCAGTCAGATCTAACTCCATTTATTACTACTCTGCTTTCTACTCTCCAGCCAATTTTCTATCCAATTTAATAACATTCCCCCACACCCACATATTTAATTTTTGTAACAAGTCTTTTTATGTATCACCTTTACCAAATGCTTTCTTAAAATGAAGGTAAACGAAATCCACAGTATTTCCTTCATCAACTCTTGTAGTAACATCTTCAAAAAATGTCAGAAGATTTGTTAAACAAGTCTTTCCCTTAATGAAATCGTGCTGGCTCTTTGACGCTATATTAAACCGCTTTACATGACTCTGCATGTATCTTTAATTACACTCTCCAAAACCTTTCCAACTACTAGTGTAAGACTTACTGGCCTATAATTGTCTGGACAATGTTTATCACCTCCTTTGAATATTGGATTAACATTAGCCAACTTCCAATCTTCTAAGACTCTTACACTACTTGGTGACCAATTGAAAAAAAAAAAAAAATTGAGTTTCTTTAAAACTCTAGGATAAAAGTTGTCTGATCAAGGGGATTTATAAATTTTTAGGTTTCCCATCTCTTACAATTTCAGAACTTAAAATGATATCTTTTACATCAATATTTTCCCCATACATTAAGTGCTGTGGTTGAGGCATAATACTTGTAGCTTCCATTGTAAAAACTTAAGAGCACATGTATATAATTTAATAAGTATACCTTCTCATCTTCCAAGATCAGCTCCTCACTATAATTTTTAAGAGGCCCATTCCCTATCCTAATATTTTACCTATCCATCATATAACTAAAGAATTCCTTATTGTTTGATTTAACTCTCTCAGCCAACCCTCTTTCATATACAGTTTTTCCCCATTTAACTTCCTTTAGCTCTCTTGATTTTCTATAGTCCTTCAAGTCCTTATTACTTCCAATAAGTTTAAATTTCTTGAATTTATTACATTTATTCATAATATGATCTCTTAAACCTTTACTAAACCGTACTGGCTTATTCCGCTCCATTGCCCTTTTTTTTTCTGTAGGGAATATGTATGTTCTGTATGCATATAAGTTTTCCCTAAATGCTTCCCATATCTGTTCAAGACCCCCCACCCAACTCTAGTCCAATCTACAGAAGCTATGCCATGTCTCATTCCATCAAAATGGGCTTTTGTGAAATTTGAAATCAGGGTACTATTCTTCAGTTCTACATGAAGTAAAATCCTGCACCTGATGGTGCAATGGTTGCTTGTACTTAAATGCTTGCCAACCACAACTGTATTATTCACATCAGATGCTAATATTTAATCTACTATAGCTTCCTCTCGTGTTGGTTCCATCACCAGTTGGTGTATAAAAGTATCCTGAACAATTTCCAAAAACCTATCTTCCCCCCCCCCCCTCATAGTCAGACTCAATTTTTCCAATCTATACCCCTCAAATTAAAATTTCCCATAATAACATTATTTCCAGCTACCATTCTAATCTCATATACAATTTCTCATTAATTTCCACATTCTGATCTGGTGTCTGGTGGTCTATAAAAAATCCCAATTACAAGACTTTTTTTTTATATCCACTAACACTAACCCAAACTGACTCAAGCTCGGTGCTATTTTCTTTAATATGCTCTAACTCAATAGGATGCAATTCACTCCTCACATATAAAGCTACTCCTCCCCATTTTTTTCAATACTCTTTCTCTAGTAAATAATCTGTAGCCTGGTATTTCAAAAAACAAATTCTCTCATCATAATTGTTCAAACCTAACCAAGTCTCAGTGATACCCATTCTTTCAAAATCCTCAGTTTCCACAACTGCTTTGAACTCATCAATTTTATTTCTAATTCTCCTCGCATTACAATAGTGACAATTAATCATGTATTTTAAAGTATGTTCATGTTTTATGCCTGTTGTAC